CTCGGTTCCGCTCAGCGCCGCGGCTGCCCTGTGTTAAGCGGCCGGGGGGGCGCCGGCGGTGCCTGCGCTTGTGCCAGGTTTCTTCGGGTACGCTATTCAGCTGCGGGGAGCTGTCCGGCTCCGAGCCCCTCCGTCCGGGCTACGAGTCCTGGGTCAGAAACCTTCAAGTAAAAAAGTCATTCTTGGGGTGGGGTTGCAGCTCTCGGTTGGGCCGGTCACGTTTTGCTCACTGAGCTCCTCACGTGTGAGCAGTGTTTGGGGAGTGCGTAAGTCGCGTATGCAGTGGAGAGCAAGTAGTGTGGGTTTTGTTGCTGATAACACTTAAACGTTGAACAAACATCTGTGCTCTTCATTTTAAATTTGCTTGACTTCCTATCTTGGCAACTGAGCAATTAGAGAATGCATTTTAACCTAGAATTAACTGCAATTTCCGCTCTTTTACACGGCCAGTCATTTAGCATTTCCTTAGCTGAAAACGCTGACGTTTATCTCTTCAGAAGTAGACCTAACAACCTGACCAATGTGGTTGGTTTTTATTCGTGTCCACTGCTTTAAAAGCACATAAGCTTAGTATAAGACTGTCGTGGTTTAACCCCAGCCGGCAGCTAAGCACCACGCAGCTGCTCTCTCCTTCCCCCCTGCGGCGGGAATGCGGGGAAGAGAATTGGAAGGGTATAAGTGAGAAAACTCGTGGGTTGAGATAAAGACAGTTTTTTTGTTTAACAATTGAAATAAAATACTAATAAATCTTAATAAAAACCAAAAATAACCGAAATAAAGCCTAAGAAAAACAAGTGATGCAAAATAAACCGGCAGCTGCTCACCACCAACTGACCGATGCCCAGCCAGTCCCTCAGGAGCAGGTCCCCTGACCACCCTCCCCCCCAGTTTATGGCTGAGCACGATGCCATGTGGTGTGGGATACCCCTGGAGTCAGTTTTGGCTTCTTGTGCACCCCCAGCCTGCTCACCGGTGGGGTGGTGAGAGGCAGAAAATCCCTTTACTGTTTGAGCTCTGCTTAGCAGTAACATATATTGTCCATATGTTATCATCACTGATCTCAGCACAAATCCAAAAATTAGCCCCATATCAGTTACTATGAAGAAAATTAACTCTACCCCAGCTGAACCCAGCAGAAAGACCTTGCATTTATTTTTTAAAAATAGAAGATATTTCATCATTTCTTCTCTATAATAAAATTTTGATCTTCTCCTTTTTAGATCCTTTGCATATTTTACAATTAAAGACAGACTGCCCCAGATCCTCACAAGAGTTATTGATACTCTGCATCGACATAAAAATGAATTTTTTGAAGAACATGGTGAGGTAAGAATAAAGTCTCTTTTTGCCTGAGATTTTTTTCTCCCCTAACCCTTGACACTGCTTCTCTGCCTTGTTTTTACTGGTTTCCTACTACAGTGGTTACTTGCCTGTCTTAATCTTTTTGTCTGATGTTTTTTTCTTTATTGTCTCTTTCTTGTAGCTCTTCTTCATTTATTTTGAAACTCACCTGTCTAACCTTTTTCTGTTCTATCTGTTCTGCAGCTGCTTTACTTTCTCAGGTTATTGTGTTGATGCAGTATTAGTAAACGGTAGCATCTTCTAAACATGGCAATGTTTCAATTCTCTGTTCCCCTCTAATAAGCCAAAAGCCCACTTTAAAAAGAAGTCCCATATGTGATTCATTTTAGGATATTGGGGGTAAAATAAGCTTCATTCACCCAAACGTGTTTGTGTGTGGCAATTAAAACTTATCACTTATATCTTTCAGGAAAAATTGATCTGTATCTCTACAGGAATAAATATTCAGAATAGGAATTTTTGTTCTCCACTTATTTCAGAAGGGTGTGGAAGCAGAGAAGAGAGCTATATCTTTCCTCTCCAAGCTGCGGAATGAACTGCAAACAGACAAACCAGTGACCCCTTTAGAAGATGAGCTGCCTGATGCTGCTCTGTGGAACCAGTACTTAGACTACCAACGAAATTTAGCAAATGGGAGTGGAGAACTGAGTTGGTTTCAATCCCCTTGGTTATTTGTAGAGTGTTACATGTATCGAAGAATTCACGCAGCACTAGCACAGAAGTAAGTGTTAACTAGCTTGGTATATTACTCTGCAAAAAACCAAAAAACTCATTATTTCCCATTTTTATTTGAGGAGAAGGAAAGACAGCTGGGAATAAGCTAAAGGCAATTCTTAAGCTTTTACAGTGTTCCTTGTCCCTTATCTTGCACCTCAGATGTAAAACGAGTACTTTTTCTTCTTCCATGCAGCAGAATTTGAAGCTTCTTAGTTGTTTTTTTTTTTATGCTTCAGTATCTGTGACTTGGTCTATGTGAAAACTCTTAAGCTTAACTGTATAGCTTGACCTTCTTGCAGATTAATGTACATTGAGATACGAAAGTTATTTAGCATTTCTAAAAGGTCTGTTAGTCTAGAATTGTCTCTTAAGACATATGTTAGCCTGAAACAGAATGCGAGAGCCACTCCTTTGCTGGGCATTCTAATTTGTTTTGCTGATCAAAATCTGAAGTTACGGTTTGAGAACTGTCTCCCACAGCAGTAGCCCCACCTTAAGCAGCCCCTGTTGTTCATTCTACACCATTTTCTTAATTTCAGCAGTGTTTGCAGACCATGTGTTACATCAAACTTTGGGAGCTGATCCTGGTTAAAAATAACTTGGCAGGAGAAACTTGCTGTGCTGGTACTGTGGAGAGGTGCCAGTACAATGTAATGGGGGAGGAACGAGCAGTTTTAAGTTCCCGTGGCTGTCAAGAAAAAAAAATTGAAAGCTCCATGTGTACTGTGTTTGCCCTTAGTATTACAGAGTTGCAAACACAGTTGTGGGATCCAGTTTCCACTGGTGTGTTGCGTAATTTGAACTCTTGTAGCAAAAGCTTCAAATATGAGATGGATTTTCTGGCTTGCAGTTGAAGAACTCAGCAGATACTTTTCATTAGTAAGTTCTAAGTTGCCTCATCTCCATTATTTAGTTGCTCTTAAGCATATGCTTGGAAGGAAGTTCAGTCATGTGTCAAAAGGTGTACGTGCAAATATGTCTCACAATAGATGAGTATATTTCTTATATAACAAGAATTGAATTGTTTTGTTATCTTTGTCATGCTAGTTTTCTAGTTCTAGTTAAAAACTTCTGTAAGAGTAACTTCATATCACCGTAAGAGACATTGGTATGGGAAGTACACTTCAGCACACCATAAAATCGGGCCAGCAATTCACTGTGTCCGAAGACTAGAGCTCAAAATTGTCCCTGTATGTGTGCAGTTATCAGAATTATTGTGACTGAACACTTGTTCACTTTCACAATATATTGCTAGAAGTATAAAGATGTCTCATATACTGTATGTTTCAGCGAGACATGATATCAGGCTGTAACTGAGATGTGTAAAAATCTAGTATGACAAGTTAGATGTGGAAAATCTAGCTAAAGCTCATAGTACGGTCTGGAAAAGCTGAGCTTTAGGCATGCATTTTCAAGTGTGTTTCATGTGCTGTTAGAAAATGTGACGAGTATGTTAATATATTTGTTCTTCCTTTTTTAGCCCACCTATTGAGAACTTTGATGTATTTAAGGAAGGAAAGGCTCAAAATTTCTTCGAATCCCAAGAGGCTGTTATTGCCTTATGCACTTACTTTCAGGAACTTCTTAAAAACATCAAGGATCTAGATGAAAAGCAACTTCAGGAGGAACTTTTTAAGCTATTGCAGGTAAGGTAGTAGTGTTTAACCTAAGAATTTAAAGTACCTCTTCTATGTATAAAACAAAAACTCGAGGTGGTAAAGAATCTGAACTTCATATGGCAATTAAAATATGTCTCTTTTGTGTGTAAAATGTGATTAATTCCTGGCAGCCATACTGTATTGCTGCTACTCTGGGAATATTTACATTTTAGTTACTTTTATTAAATGTGACATTTTCATTATGCTGCTGTTTTTCATTGTGTATTTGAAAACCCAGCTTATTCTCCTTAACACTCTCTCTAGAACGCTTTAAGTCAAGTTCCAGGTCATTTATTTGTTATTTAACTGTAAAATTTTAAACCAGTTAATTTTATTGACACTAAAAATTTTTAAAGTTCTTTGAAAAATAAAGGCAGAAGTCAGTCAGGGCCAGAAGTGGGTGAAAAGCTTTTTAACAGCATTGTGTTCTTGGAAAATAATGCCTTTGGGTAGAATATGAAATAGTGTAGGATTACAAGTAAGTCCAGTAGCTGGCAACAGTGCACAACAAGTATTTGGTGAATCTTTATTAAGACCTCATTAGTGTGTACTTAAAATACTTGGTGGCATACAATAAAGAAACAACCCTGCTTTTATTACTCCTTTTTCTGTGTTCTTACTGATATTTTCTGCAATTACAGTATGGAGAATATTTGTGTTTTAAGCTTTATGATCTCCCTATTGATGTTGATCTAAATTTTCCATCTTCGTCATTGCTGATGCATGTTTCTGATGCTTGCATAAATACAGTGCATTGTTTAGTTTCTTCCACAAAATCTTGTCTATAGTAAGATTTCTGTAGAAGTTGAATTTTATTAAAGCTTGGAGGAAAACATGGAGTTAGAACCTTCATGACCCTAAAATGAAAACAAACAAACAAAATCTTTAGTGTGTGTGTAGTTTAGAATGTAACTACAGTGAGACTTAGCAAATGTTTTTGTTTTTTCTTCCTTCCAGGTGTCATTGTGGGGCAATAAGTGCGACCTTTCTTTTTCAGCCGGTGAAGTCAGCTCTCAGAAATCTAGTCTTTTACAATCCCTGGAAAACCTGTTACCTTACATTGTGGTGAATGATATGGAAAAAATTTGGTCACTATTTGTAAACACCAAAAAAAGAAATACAGAAAAAAGTAATGTTAGAGTTGACATAGTCCTGGATAATGCCGGATTTGAACTCGTGAGTGATTTTGTGTTGGCTGACTTCCTGTTATCATCAAAGCTAGCTGATGAAATCCATTTTCATGGAAAAAGTATTCCATGGTATGTTTCAGATACCACAAAGCATGATTTTAACTGGACTGTTAAACAACTGCAATCAGCTAATCATATGTGGATGTCTAGATGTGGGATAAACTGGGAGGGCAATTTGAAAAAGGGAGTTTGGGTTTACCATGATCACATGTTTTGGACTTTGCCACATGACTTTTCCAGTATGGCTGGAGTTGCTCCTGACTTGTATGCTGATCTACAGAAGTCAAACTTGCTTTTTTTCAAAGGTGATCTAAACTATAGAAAATTAACAGGAGACAGAAAATGGGAATATACTGTTCCATTCCATCAAGCCTTGAACAAGTTTCATCCTGCGCCTCTCTGTAGTTTGAGAACACTGAAATCTGATATTCAGGTTGGCCTAAAACCCGGCCAAGGGGAAGAAATTCAGGCTTCTGAACCTGAATGGATGGTGAATGGAAAATACGGGGTAGTCCAGATTGATGCTGCTCTCTAATTAAATGGTTCCTAACATTCTGAAAGAGAGATTTGGTCCGAGTTTTAACTACTTTTTCTCTTCCATGCTTGGCTTTGGCAGAGACTCTTTTTTGTTAGTATTTTTTCCTCCCAAGTGATTTGTTGGTTTTGTTCCACAAGACTTTAATGTGCTGCAAAAATCTACGAACTGTCTTTTAGACATAAATCAATCTGCATTTCAGTGTATTTTGCTTTCCTAATGTCCAGTGTCAGCAGATGTTTAAGATGAAGATTGAGTTGTCCCTAATACTTTTTTCATTATCAGTGGGTATGAGAGTCTGTGGCTAAGAAGTGAAAAATCTGCTTGGGAAACCATTTCCGCAATCCCACATTAGCATGTTTTTACTTATTTCAGGATAATTTGTGGTCCACATGCCATGCATTGCATGCAAGTTAATATTCTAGAGAATGCACAAATTAATTCCAGATAGATCTTTTGCAAGCCACTATAGGGTCATGTTTTAAAATTGTTGAGAACTGAGTTGACTTCTGTCAAGTTTTTATGACATAATTTTTACTTGCTGCTTTTGTCCGTGGACAAATAACTTTTTATGTTTTGAGTATAATTTGCTGTACATTAAGAGAAGAGTCCTTGGATGATACCTTGTAAATATTAATTTAGAACTTTAAACTTGAATTTTAATTTTAAAATACAAGTGGATGTTGCTAGGAGGGGAGTTGTCCCATCTGGTAGGCAGATGAGTGGGAGAAAGGACAATCTCATTTTAAGAATATGGAAGATACTGTTCATCTAAGAACTTCTACCAAGAAAAGCACACAATCCCTCTCCCCCCAAACCAACCAATAAACCCAACCAGTTACATTAACTTTAGATTTAATAAAGACTTGAATTAAAGGTGGCCTGTCAGCAGTGTCCTTCTGTTGTGATACTTCTCTTTATTTGTCAAATGTTTTGTTTTTAAGAAGGACACCATATTTGCGCTGAGAAGTCTATGCTAGAGAAGCATACGCCATACAGGTTTGTTGAGATGTTTGCTGCTAGTTGGAGTTGTTAGATGCTCATATTTTCTTTTCTAGCCTGCTCTCAAATTACTCAGAGTTTTTTTGAAAATTTAGGGATAGCTTAGTGTTTTTTTCAGAGTGAGGTGAAACAAAAGTGGAAATGCATTACCCATTTGTAAAGGAAAAAGTAAAAATAGGTTCTGTCAAGTCTTAAAGTACTTCTGTGGTTTGAAATAGGGGACTGAGGAAATGCCTGTGATAATCACAGGTTTGTTACAGAATGGTGGCAGAATTACCCATGGAGTCTGACTAGGTTATGCTCTTGTCTAGAGCTGCTGAAGTGAGGTGAACTTGCCCCAGGTAGCCAAGGTGGCTATGACACAGAGAACAAGAGTTAGACGGTAGAGAAACTTCCATTTTACATGCGTCTTACACAGTGAGAAGGAGGGCACAGAAGTGGCCTTAATTGAGTATGTTCTGGAAGGGGTGCTATGGCAAGGGAATTGGGATGACTGCATAGAAAATGGATTTAGAGATTTTTGGTCTTAACGGTTACTTGAAGACAAGGGTAAGCTTTGGCAGGCCTAAAGAAGTGCGTGGGGGAGGGTGGGGCAGTACTTTGTGCCTATTTGGCCTTGAAAATGAAGTTGGATTCCTCTTCTGGTTAGTAAAATCACTGGCAAAGCGCATCTGAAGCGGAGAGACTCTGTTGCTGCTTGTGTTCATACAGTGAAGATCTATACAGTGGGTAAATATCCTCCAGCTTCTGATGACTTTGTGTTTTGTGTTCTTACATCTGAAAGTAAAGTTGCAAGATCAAGTATTCAAAATCTAAGTTGCTAGGAATTTCAGGAGGCAATGTTGTATTCTACTTTTGAGACCTGGGTTCTTATCTCTGTTTCTTTGTATCTCTGGTTTAGTACTAAAGGATGAATTCATGCGCACCCTTAAGCACCTGATTAAACTGCAGTAATTAGAAATCCAGCCAAGAGAACTGAAAGGCAGACTGCTGAAGGTCTCTTTGGAGAGAGCTCAGGGGGACTCAAGCTTTGGTGCTTTGATAAAATACGTAAACAACATGATGAATTGGGGCACTGGAGCCTCAGTTTCCCATCTGTGAAAATGCTGTTAACTTGTTTCAAATGCACTTAGAAGCAACAACTTTGGGTGGAGAACAGAGGGATGGAAGCTGTGGAATTTGTGCAATGAAAACTTCCTGCCTTGGTCAGAGAGACAAAATGATTAGGGGAAGAAATCTGCTTTGCCTGTGGACAGATTGTTTGTAAGGTGCTGCCTTAACCTGCTGGAGAGATTTATAAGTGCGTAGTGGACGAGAAGAGAAAGCGTCGTTTCACTGTTGAGGCCACCCATGAAGAATAGATTTGCCTCTTATACAATCCTTACACATGCAGAGAAACTTGGTTTCATTTTTCACTGGTGGTTAATCTGCCTTTCTGTGCCCAGGTTGCTTTCAAGCTGTTAATTCTGGGAAATCACAATGCAGATCAGTGAAAATAAATATTCTGAAGTTATGATAAGTAGAATCCTACAAAATGCTAAATCACCTAGGAGATGCAGCAGATTTCATTTGGTATTACTGAACCATCTCATCGGACATTATTGCATTGCTGTTTCTGAGGAAGAAGGGTGGAGGTTTCGTGAGTACTCTTGGGGTTTAACCCAGCCAGCCACAAGCCCCACACAGCTGCTCCCTCACTGCCCTTCAGTGGGTGGGGGAGAGAATCAGAAGAGAAAATGTGAGAAAACTTATGAGTTGAGATAAAGACAGTTTGGTAGGTAAACCAAAAGCTGTGCACACAAGCAAAGCAAACCAAGGACCTCATTCACCATTTCTCATTGTCAGGCAGGCGTTCAGCCATCCCTGGGGCAGCAGGGCTCCACCATGGGTAATGGTTACTTGGGAAGACAGATGCCATCACTGAACTTCCCCTGTTCTTTCTTCTTCTCCCAGCTTTTAAATGCTGAGCATGACACCATGTGGTGTGGGACATCCCTTTGGTCAGTTGGGGTCAGCTGTGCTGGCTGTGTGTCCTCCCAGCTTCTTGTGCACCCCCAGCCTGCTCACTGGTGGGGTGGTGAGAGGGCAGAAAAGGCCTTGGCTCTGTGTGAGCTCTGCTCAGCAGTAATGAAAACATTCCTGTGTTATCAGCACTGCTTCCAGCACAAATCCAAAACATGGCCCCATACTAGCTACTGTGAAGAAAATTAACTCTGTCCCAGACCAAACTAGTGGAACTGTGAGATGTTTAATTTTAGATTAGCATTTGAAATAGCATTCATGCACAGAGAATTTCCAAGATAACTGCATAAATTGAATTTAGACTCAAAGATTTTATATCTGGTTTTAAGTTCCCCAAACTGAAAATCAACTAATATGTCAGCAGCAGCTTCCAAAGAAGAAACTCCTAGATTTTCTAGGAAAACAATTCCATATAAATTATATTGACTTTTTGGTTCTTTATTTTTTTTTTTTTTTCAACAGCTGCAAGTATAATTTAATGAGTTCTTTGTCTTTGCTTTCATTTAACATTGTACACTTAATGCTGATGTTCTGAGCTGGAAAGCAGCTGTGCAAGGTGTTGTTCCTAGTCCTCTCTCCTGTGTCTCCATATGTAGAGAAAGATACGTTAGTCTGTGCATGAAGTATTTTTATCTCTAAATATTTGATTACATGGACCTTATCTTAGTACTCCTCAGTTCTCCCTCACTAAAACATAGCATGTATTTTAGGTACAACACTTGAATTTACAAGCAGAAAAGAACTGTCATTTCCAGAACTTCAGAATATATTCTTTGGGAAGTGTAAGCACAGTGTTTGTTATACCATGAAGTTTTGTGTCTTCATCATTGCTGTTGCCAAAAAGAATTAACTTTTTGTTTTCAGGCCACGATTATTCTGCCCTTGCAAGATAAGAAGGCATCTAGTAATGCTAGCATAAGAAATGTTTAGTTACTGTTTTGTCATCCAAAGATACTTAATATCTGCTTATGGACCAGCTAAACTGTTTTACTGCCACATAGGAGATCTTCAGGAAAACCTCCCCAGAAGTGATTTCTTTTCCCTGATGGTTCTGGGAAGACTTGCACAAACCTGAAATGTGAGGGAGGGTAGGTAAGGCTTGAACAGTTTCTGTGTTAAAATCTCACTTCTTTCCCAAGTCTTAGTTCCCCCATGTGCATATTGCATTTTCACCACCAGGCTTTGCCCCAGTTGGGGATTCCAGGGTTGTGAAACCAGCTGGCTTATTTTCTTCAGAAGGTGTCTCCATCAGTTTGGCTGAGCTGTGCAAATTCGCATGGGATGAGACAGTGTTAAACTCAATGTTTTTTGGAAAAAAAAAAAGGACTCCCATTTTGTTCAGGCAAAGGAACAGCTAGACTTAATCAGACTAGTTAATCCTTCTCAAGCTTGTCTGCTTTCAGATTTGGAATAGTAACTGGTATCAGACACAATTTCGTAGAATCACAGAATGGTCTGCGTTAGAAGGGACCTTTAAAGATTTAGTTCCAACCCACCTGCCATGGGTTGGAACTAAACCTGCCATGGGACACCTTCCACGAGACCAGGTTGCTCAAAGCCCTTGTCCACCCTGGCCTTGAACACTGCCAGGGATGGGGCAGCCACAGCTTCTCTGGGCAAACTGTGCCAGTGACTCACAAGCCTCATAGGGAAGAATTTCTAATTTGTATCTAACCCAAAATCTACCCTATTTCAGTTTAAAGCCATTCCCCCTTGTCTTATCCCTACGTGCCCTTGTAAAAAGTCCCTCTCCAGATTTCTTGCAGGCCCCCTTTAGGCACTGGAAGCTGCCCTAAGGTCTCCCTAGAGCCTTCTCTTCTCCAGGCTGAACAAGCCCAACTCTCTCAACCTGTCTCCACGGGAGAGGTGCTCCAGCCCTCAGATTGTCTTTGTGGTCCTCCTCTGCACTCGCTCCAAGAGGTCCCCATCTTTCCTGTGTTGGGTTAGGGTTAGAGTTCAGATCTGAATGCGGTACTGCAGGTAGGGTCTCATGAAAGCTGAGTAGAGGAGGAGAAATTTACACACGCGCAATTTATACATACACCTTAATCATATTAATTAGCAGTGTTGTCTCTTCACTTTCCCATATAAGCCTGTTTTTTCCTTATAATTGCATTAATAATTTTTCCAGCTAGAAATCTGTAAATGTGTTAGGGAATTAC